GAAAGTGCTCGTTCATCTTCTGTTGGAGTAGTGTCCACTAATGTCCCATTTTTTGGAGGAAGATGAAGTAGGAGAAAGTGCTCGTTCATCTTCTGTTGGAGTAGTGTCCACTAATGTCCCATTTTTTGAGGAAGATGAAGTAGGAGAAAGTGCTGGTGGGTCAATTGAAGATGTTAGTGATTGCAGTCCATCATAAGATGGTCGGGATAATTTGAATAATTCAACAGGCAAAGAATTAGATGATGATAAATGAAGTGATAGTGCAGTGTGTAGTTTTTTCTTCCTTTCCTTCTTACTTTCCTTCTTGCTTTCCTTCCTGCTTGCTTTTTTGCATTTTTTTGATTTTTTCTTTAATGCGGCATACTTAGAAAATGTAGCAACACTAATACTACCATATCTATTGCCAATAAAAAATTCTCCACCATCTACTGTATCAAACTGGTAGGGTGGCTGATTGTTTGTTGAAGTAGCAAAACTAAGATAACTGCAGTGAGAAACTGTTTCAATGGAGACACAATGTTGTATCTCCAGTTTAACAGGTTTAAGAAATGGTTTGGTGATGTTTATAGCGTATACTGCACTAGCAAGCTCAGTATCTTCTGGGAATATAAAATCTCCTCCTACAAGAGCAGCAATGGTGACCTGTACAGTATCAGAGGGTAGCACTGCTCCTTGTGGTATTGTTATCCTTATACCATATTCCTCCCACTTGACTGACTGGATAGATCCACCATGAATAAGAAATGAATTCTTCTCAGCAATATGTACCCCTTTAAGTTCATCTATATGAAGTATAAGGGCATGTACAATAATTATAATCACATCAAAGTACATCATACCTACAGTTACACTTTTGACAACTTTGTCATCAAGTATATCACTGTTACAACCTACTATGATTATCACATTAATTATTACCAGCATCTCTAAACTATACCTTGAGTTAATTCATGCATTTGGTTCCCTAATTTGCTATCATCTTTTGAAGCTTTTTTTGTATCTTCTTGAAGCTTTCTATCTTCTGATGGTATCACAGAATTTTGTTCCACTTCTATATCATAGTAGTGATATAATTATTATTATATAGTATATCTCATGAACAACATATATGTCACATACTAATATGGGTTAATACACCCTCCACCTTAAATACTTTGAATCGACATCATCCGGCCTGCGGCCCTCAGGTAATAGCAATTCAAAGTATCCTCGGTGTTGAGTATTAACCCATGTATCATTGTGATGATATAATAATACACATATATTATATATATTGCATTATATACCTTCTGAAGAATGAAGCAACTTGACTTCCTGAACTTTATCTTGATCTACTCTTGTCTCTTGTTGAATGTTTGTATCTTTCAGATGCTCATATTGTTGTATTTGCTGCAGGTGTTCCTTCACTTTTTGGTCTCTTTCAATTAGTTCCTCGCTTTTATTTTGTAACAGCTGATTAAGCCTTTGAATCTCATTTACTCTATCTTCTAGCTCCTTCCTTATCTTTTGTAACTCATGATTATAATATTGCTTCATCTTTGCCTCCTCTCTCTCCTTTTCTTGTAACTGTTGATAATACATTTGTATCTTTTGCTCCTTTTCTGCAAGCTCCTTGCCTTTCTCCTGCAACTGCTGAAAATATTTATCTTTTAGCCTTTGTGCCTCCAGTAACTGATACTCTTTCTCTGCCTCCTTTTTCCCTTTCTCTCATAACTCTTGACGATATCTTTGTATTTCTTTCTCTTTTATTGCCTCCTTTTCTTGTAGTTCTTGATGATGTCCTTTCTCTTTCTTTGCCTCCTCTTTCAATTTTTCACAATATTTTTGTATTTCTTGCTCTTTTGCTGCCTTTTCTTGTAAATGCTGACAATATCTTCGTATTATTTGATCTTGCTGTACCTCCTTTCTTTCTTTTTCTTGCAATTGATAAATATATTTTTGTATTTGTTGCTCTTTTTCTCGTAACTGATAAGTATAGTATCTTTGCATTTCTTTACCTTTCAAAGAATTCTTTCTCTCACTTTCTTGTAGCTGCCAATAGTATCTTTGTTCCATCTCTGCCTTCTCTCTCTCTTTCTCTTGTAATAGATTGCAATAGCTTACTATTTCTTGCTCCTTCTCTTGTAACTGATTACGGTATTGTTGTATTTCTTGAGTTTTCAGTGTAATCAGTGCCTCATTTCTCACCTTCTCTTGTAACAACTGCTGATGATGCCTCTTTTCTTTCTCGGCTTCTTCTTTCTCCTTCTCCTGTAACTGGCTATGATATCTCTGCTTTCCCTCTGCCTCTTCTCTGTCCTTCTCCTGTAGCTCCCTATCCTTCTCTTGTAACTGGTTATGATATCTTCTTATTTCTTGATCTTTCTCTGCTTCTTCTCTTTCCTTCTGCTGCAACTGCTGACAAAAAACTTGTGCTTCTCTCTTTCTTTCTTGTAATTCTTTCTCCTTCTCTTCAATAGCTTGTATGGTCTTCTCAAACTCCTCCAACCATATTCTTCTTCCTGTCTGCAGTTGCTGCTGATACTTCTTCTTGTATTCTTCATTATTCATACCATTGGTATCTAATGTATCACCTACTGTCCACTCTCCTTTG